TCAGTAGCACTCAGCATGAAAAACAAGATCACGATTTTCAACTTGAATGTGAATTCAGTGCTACTTTTAGGGATCAGAGACTTAGCGCGTCACGAAGGGCAAGTCGAAAAAAGTACACACCTTCATCAACAGCTGTCTTCGCTCAGTACTTGGCTCGCCCAAGATCAGACGGCCGACCAGAAGAGATCAACAACAGGCAGGGATCTCTGGCAATGAACGAACCAGGAACCAATTGAGCAACAAATCTGCAGGAAGAAATGGGGGTGGGTTGGATTAAGGCCACAACACTTTGAGAAAACAAACCATCAAGTGACATCACACTCCAGGCCATCGCTCGAGTGGAACCCAAACGGGAACCCCAACTCCTTTTGTATTTTCAGAGCATATCAATTGAGCCAAGAATTGTAATACTGCTTAATATTTCGGATGCACTTACGTTTATACTGTTTTTTCTACTACCATTGAAATATTGAATTATGTTATTAAGCATCATTTTTATTTTTTTTAAAGGCATTGCAATTTCAGGTAATGGTCTGCAACTGCTGATGAGATGGACCTGTGAAATTACACTGATAATAATCATGGTAATACTTTCTCCCTTTATTGAAATTTATCACAGGAATCATATGTGTGTGCGTATTAATAAGATTGCACAAAGTCTTTACAGAAGGTATCTTATATTAATCCCAAAAAGAGACAATTCTACGTAGTAGCAGCAATATGTGTTTCTGATGTGGTGTTGTATTCCCTGAGCTGAACGTTGGTTTATTTGTGAAGCTTTCATCATTGTTCTCTTTAAATGGGCAGCCAATAACTTCAGCGCGCATACTTCAATTTGAGGAGGTGAGCTTTTAGATTTCCCCACGAGTTTATTAGTCATCTCTCCTAGCGACCGATGACCTTGAGCGTGAATGGTTGTTTCTTTGTGTTTTCACACCCTCTAGGTGTTACTACTTGTGTTGGTAACGGTGGTGATTGTTTCCTTGACCCCTGAAATTTGACGCCTTGTGTGTGTGTGTGTGTGAGATTTCCTTCTTATCGATTGGCAAATTCTTGTCTATGTCAGCGTGTCTATATTGATTGAAGATTGACGATATCCACGGAAATTCATCAAAGAAATATCTTTGGTGCAATCAAAAATCGATAGATATCCTTCTCATGTTACCTCCAACTGTGTATACAAATTTACATGTATCTGCGGGAGCAGTTACATTGGAAGGACAGAAAGCGGAAGGGCATATCTACGATTTTCCGAACATGTACCAAAAAGCTTGTGTCTACAACTGGGAACAAATGCTTTAAACAGTGCCATCCATCGCCAGGCATCTCCTCGACACGGGTCTTGAGGTGGACGCCGAAAAGTCCTTCAAAATTATCAATAAGCAAAAGAGCTCAATTCTCCTTAAGTTTGCTGAAGCCATTTGCATCAAGGGCCTGAAACCTGATTTATGCGTCCAGAAAGAAGCGGTTATCAGTCTTTCTTTGCCCTGCCTGCTAACTGGATAATTTCACCTCTCTTTCTTCCGAATGCGAAATGCTAAAGGTTTCCATTGTGTATGATTATTATTGTTGTTCGGAATATTGGTTAATATTGCATATTTATATATGTATATATTTTTGGTGTATGCGTATATTGGTCGATTGATTTTTGTTTCAGATGAACTCTGTGTGGGCAAGTATGTTAAAATTGTTGTTGTAGGTATATTTAATAATGTGTTTGCCCTGTAAACAGCTGACGTGAAGGCAACGAAATAAACACTGATGGTACCATTTTATTCTGCTAAAACCACTGTAGTTCTTGCTTTGTTCAAATTCATTAAGGGGAATAAATGTATGAAAGAAATATGTATCTGCAACTAAGCCAACACACTAAATCTAAGGCTCCTAAGGAAAGCACAAAGAAAAAATTGCCGTAGCACGCATAAAAGACGATTTCTCAAAAATCACTACAAGACGCTTCATACCTTTAGGAATTGATGTCGCGCACAAGCCAAACAAAATCACTTCACTCAGTTCTATGTCAAACAAAAGATAGACTGAACAGTGAATGAAGCATAAAACCAGTATCACCATCTACAAAATAAGTTGCAACGGCTGCAAAAAAACACTACATTGGCCAAAGGAGACACCCCTGATCTTTGTCTTTGTTTCCATGATCATATACTAGCCGTCAAAAGATATGACATCCACTCCCTCGCTCATATCGACTCATTGAATACAGACAACAACAGACATCAATTCAACTACGACAACCACAACGTTCATATTATTAGACAGGAAACACCAAAAATGTTAGAGAATCTTTAGTAAACAGTCTGGTATTCCAATGGATCGTCAATAAATACAACACATCGAGATAGACAAAATTTACCAATCGGTAAGAAGGAAATCTCACACACACACACACAAGGCGTCAAATTTCAGGGGTCAAGGAAACAATCACCACCGTTACCAACACAAGTAGTAACACCTAGAGGGTGTGAAAACACAAAGAAACAACCATTCACGCTCAAGGTCATCGGTCGCTAGGAGAGATGACTAATAAACTCGTGGGGAAATCTAAAAGCTCACCTCCTAAAATTGAAGTATGCGCTAAAAGGAAAAATATTGCCTAGTGAGGCAAAGAAAGGTTCGCAAATAAACTATACAGCCAAGAGAACACAGCCACATCAAAATCATCCACCTGAGCTACAAATCTCCATCATAACTAAAAATGTGTCTTTGAATGTTAGTCAATTCAGATGACTAACTGGTTGCATTCCTACTTTTCAAACAGAATGCAGTACACCGTATACAAAGGCGAATCCTCCTCTGCTGTGCTCACTGAAGCTGGTGTCCCCCAAGGTGCTGTAATCTCCCAACTTCTCTTTTCTTTCTTTCATTCTACATGACCTACCATCTTCAAATGACATTACCTTTGTCAAATATGCTGATGACCTAATTGTATCTTTACCTGTCAAATGTCAAAGTGACTGTTCTAAAGTAAATGGCTTTTTATCAGAAATAAGCCAATGGTCCAAGGAAAACGGTCTTACCTTAAATCCCTGCAAATGCCAAACAGTTAATTTCACCTTTAGGCACAAATCTGACCTAAACAAACTGGTGGTTAGCACTCACGAGGTGTGCAACATAGATGGCACTGAAATAAAGAGAGACCAAGTCGGAAATTAAATGCCTAGGCGTCACTCTATCTTCTGATCTTTCCTGGTCGTCTCATATCTTGACGATCATTTCTAAGAAAATATTCCGTCTTACCACCTTCTACATCAAGAAGTTAAGACATTCTGGTGTAACCCAACCCTTACTCCTACAATTTGTTAACTCCCGTATTCTGCCTATTATTGTCTATTGTTCCCCCTTAGGTTTTCCAGGGCTGGCTACTGAAGAGAGACTATACCTTATTACGCAGGATGTTAAAGGTTGTCAGCAGGGCAAGCAGTTTGCCACTTAACCAACCAGCTTGTTAATATTCTGGTGGACAGGCACATGCACCCATGTGAAAAATGGGCGAAATCCATTTTATCTGACTCACAACAACACCCTCTACATTCACAACTCTCCCCATGTATCTCTTCAGGGAAAACCAGAAGCCTATATAGGAAACTATATGCGCGCACTAGTCAGTACAAAAACTCATCCATACCCGGCCTAGCTCGTGTTCTGTGTGATAATGAAGAAAGCATTAGGCGTGAAACCTTTAACTTATTAAATAGTCAGTAGAACAACTGGATCTCGTCTTTCCAACTCACATCAATTACAGGTACAACGTTTTCTCTCCACCTTTTATTTTTGTTATGTGCTGGTTTGTTTCTCTCTTCCTTACAAATTCTACTTAAAACATTCTTGTTCGTTCTTTCACACTCTGTATATCTCGTCCATTTTGTTACCGATGATGCCAGTAAATATGCTAGTAGTATCTACTTTTCTAACACCTTCAAACACTCTGTTTAAATTTTGGCTTTGCTACCGACCGACATGCTACTGATATGTTGTTGTCAAAACTGACTGAGATAACTTTAATCTATGTAGGACTTTATTTATCGTTAATGTACTAACTGGATGGGCAATATTGTAGTAGAAAATGCTGAGAATTCCATTCTGTATCACAAAGTGCTGTTTTGGAATAAAGCTATTATCTTATCTTATCTTAAATTTGCGTCTTCCTTTATCAAGTTGGGAAATTCAAGAATCTGAAAAGTTCACTACTGAGTTCAGTTGACGACTGATGCTGAAACTTGAAGCTCTTCCTATGTTCCAATTTAAAATTTAGAGGATTCAAGTTTGACTGATCCCTTTGTGGACTAAGCCTTGTGTCTCTCTTATCGGATCTTAGAACACATTCCTGTACATTGTTTGGTTAAATAAAGGATAAACAAAATCCATTCATCATATAGCGCTATGCTTTCTCACTCATCGCATGCATACGGGAGCACAAAACTGATTGATGTTAACAAGACGGCTTTCAAAGTCATCTGCCGAGCATACCAACTAATCTTACCTTCACCTTAAGAGTTCGTCTACTACATTATTGCTGAGATTGGCCGTTGGGATCCACATTAAGAAATCAAAAGAAGAAGAAGAAGAAGGATGTTCACACACACTTTCCACGTCTGCATCGGCCCGCAAGGTTCTAATGATCCCCAATTTGTTATTGTGGAAATTTCCTGAATTTTTATTTGATATTCTATTTACCATTACATTTTTAGGTTTCTTATTTATAAATTTCTGTATCTTCAGTGAACTGTCCGTAATTCCATTGTGATCTTAATCAAAAAATCGATAGTATTTAAAAAGTACACTAATCTTGTTGATGACGAGACTATTCTAGAATATTCTATGTATATAAAGATGTATATATATATATATATATATATATATGTAGAGCCAGAGGAGGAGGGAATTATCGATAAAGGATATTCTTTACTACTCAACCTGCGAAAGAACCAACTACCTTCGAGTTTCACTTTAGTGTAATGACATCAAACACGTTATAAACTTACCCAGATGCTTCTTTTGTATCCTTTAAAGGTTTCAGTGTGTGTTGTCTCTTGGGTTGGTTTTGTAAATTGTTGTTCATCTCTTCAGTTTCCTCTAGATTCCATATCTGAGAGGGATCATCTGACAATACTATGCCTTTCGATGTCATCACCTGTGATTCTTCTTCATCTAACGCAATATCCCCATAGTAGGCAGCTGTAAGCGTGAAATAAAAACAGAGAGGGAGACACTGTTACTGCTCAAAATAGTTAGTGCCGGTAGTTTTAAAAATAATCAAAGCATTCAGACGCATTGAAATATACCATAGTAAGCAAATCTATCCATACTGGTGCAGTTAAACTGGACCAGTTTATAATATTTCACCCTTTTTAAAAACTCTACACCTGTTTCTGATTACTAGGCTGATTTCGACTTTTTCTTGACTTCTTTAGTGTATTTGTATTTTTATACAAAAATATTTTGTATGCGAAGGACGCCAGCAGTGACACCTCCAAAGCCTCAGGATGGTCGCGGGTGGGTGCCTTGCGCTACTGCAGGTTGGCCACCCTTCCCACCGTACACCTCTTGAAATGCTCCCATATGACCGGGCGTCTTACATAGCCCCTCTCCTGAGGAAGTCCTCAGTCCTCACTGCTTTCACGTGGCGGAGGTGCTTTTCACCACCGAAGTGAGAGCGCAAAAGTGGAGGCCTGGCGCTATTCACCGGGTTGACTGTCCATTGGATGACAGACAGTCTAGGGGAGATGGCTAAACCCTGCCTGATTCCAAACCTCCAACGACTGGCGTACGAAGCTCACCGGTAGGCAGATGTATGGACAAAGGGCTTATTGGATGCCCTGGTGCATGTCTGGCCCCATTCAAAAAGGCGTATGAACCGGACTCCGATTACTGGCTGGCTGACAATGGATAGTGGAATACCTACTCCACTCCTACTGCCTTGTAGGAGGTTACACTTGGTTGGTTGTGTAAAGGCTAGAGCTGCACTCTGAAACAAAAGGCCGAGTGATTCTGGGGACATCACTCGTACCTAATTCCCATGAAACTTCATGAACTGTCGTCGTTGCTACAACATCAACCAAATTCCAGTACTGTGGGTCCGACAACGTCGCCTTCGTTGGTTTGGCCATGTACTGGGCCGGGCCGACCAGATGACAAGCTGGTCAAATCAGTTCTAAATCCCTCCTCGCCATTTCCATTTTCTTTTGGCGATGTCGCAGGAGGGTGGACAGCTGAAAACACACGGCTTGGTACAGTCAGTCAAGGCTGATATGGAGTGACTGGGGTGAGGTTACAAACCATCTACGGACTCCGTCTGTGGAACAAGAATTGGATAAGGCTGTCGCAAAAGCTTGCATCAGTTCGCCGCGCCTGGGCAGCGATGATTCGAGGTGTTCATGAAGCCGGCTCATCCTCCCGTAGGAGATAGTCGAAGTAAAGTAAGTAAATTACCTGTCATTAGTAATCTTTCCCGTAATAATTTGTTTACTAGATACATCACACACACACAATCAGTGAAACAGCACTATTGATAACTGGATGACAACGCCTTTAGAACACATTTTATTTATTTATTGTTCATAGTCGGTCGTATCATCAACGAGATAACTACGTAACTTCGATAGAATCGTCCTATTGTTCCTTTGATTGCTTCCTATTTGTAACACTGATGAGATGGCCAGAAAGAATCAGTAACAGTCAGGGATCTCTAGCAATGAACGAAAGAACAAATCAACCCAACCCAGCAGGAACTAGTTGCGCAAGGGATAAGCAAAAAGAAATGGTGTAGGATTGGACTGTAGTCTGTACTCTTAGAAAACAAACCGTCAAGTGAGTGACATCACACTCCAGGCTCTCGTTCCCTCCACTGTAACGGGAATGGGAATCGGCGACTTCGTTGTTCGTCAGTGCTGGAATGACGTGGGGGAGGAAGAAGAGGAGGTGAGATCGTGTGAGTAGACGTGAAGCCAGGTGAAAATGTCGTCAGAGAACTCTGGATAAATGGAGACATGCGGCTGAAGCCCTATGTTCCTCTAGGAATTAAAAGAAACAACAGCTGGTAGCTGAAATTTCTAGATGTTCGGATGGACAGGTGTTGAATCCCTTCTATCACACACGTATTTTCAATTGATTCGATAAACAAAGCCTCCGTTATCAATCAATCAATCAATCAATCCCAACCCCAACCACCCTGTTATATCAGATTTTAGAACTGTCAACATCTTATTGTGTGGTGGTATACAACAGTAACATGTAGTGAGTGCTATAGCTGAGAGCTATCCTCCAGATTTCTTATCTTATCTTCGTGTTTTAGCTAACCTAGATTTTCCGAGGGGTTTCATCCTCTGCCATTCTGTCTGACTCACCTCGTTCTACTTATCTGACCTATGTATTTGACCTGTGACAATCATTGCAGGCAGGGTGATAGATAAACTCAGTTGTTTCTATTTAATTGGCTCCATAGACAGTATCGTCTAACCGATAACATTTGTTTCTAGATGGGTTTGTGTGGAGTTTGAGTGACACTCTTATTCCTGCCTGCATTATTAAGAATTCTCTTCACGGCAAGGATTCTGAGGTTCTTTATTTGTATAGAAAGAAGCACGCAATAATGATAATTTAAACTCCTTATACTTTGGTAATATGCATGTTTGACATGCATGTCGTCATTATTATTATTGTTATTATTATCACTATCACTACTATTGTGATGAGAGCAGCCTGCTAGCCAATTGGTTGACACTAGTCTACGTCAATGTCTAGGTCACTAATATGGGCCGTGAGAAAATATGAACAAGGCTGTTTCAACAACCAATCACAGAAAACTTAAACGTCGGCAAATATCATTCGCAGATAGATGGCTCCACTCCACTTTCCGAGAAACTCGAAAACAAAACAACCAATCAGAAGACTGCGTTAGTCTACTTGACTAGGCTATAATAATGTATGTGAAATTTATACAAATATGTGTTGATTTCGGTAATAAAACGATCTGTTGCCTGGCTCTTGTCTTCTGTTATTACACTATTACTACTTATTTTATTTTTATATTTCCCTACATATCTTCTGATTAATTTATCAGGGTAATTATTTACCTTCGTACTACTTAGTTCTTGTGCCTTATTTTCACTAAAACATTCCACAAATCCTAGTTCAACTAACATAGGATGGGATGATCTGAAATCCAGATATCGGTCCATTTTATGCTACAATCTGACATTGGTAGCCCCCCTTCCTAACTTTTCACTTCACAAATTAACTGAGCTGCATGTGCCTTCGAGTTGATGTGTTTGTAAATTCTATTTATATTCTGTGTTTAAAGTATAAGGATTGTGTCGTCTACACAACTCCAGCATACTTCTGCGTGAGGGTAAAAAAACGTTTGAATCACCTGTCCATGAATTTCTCTGCCACAATGGAAGATAACTGTGACCGCGCATTGCGACTCCTTCAGTTTGTTTGTATATTTCCCCTCCGAATATGAAGAAGTCTGGAGAAGTCAGGCATAGTTGAACTCTCAGCATTTTATGCCTTCTACTGCCAATTTTCTTCTAATTTTAAGTTCCTGATCATAAATGAGTTTGTTTTTGTCGGTATACGTGTTTATAAACTGACAATGTCAAAACTAACCATTTTAATTTCATTATCTAAATTTAAATTACCTAATCTGTGTTTTAACTCATAAAAATTTGTTAGTCTAGATTTTCGATGGCTTCTAGCCTTATTCATAAAAGTGTCTATTGATTTTTCAAATTCTGTCTGTGTCTGATTTAATAGTTAATTATATCCTTGTTATTCTAAAGACGTATTTAGGACTTCTCACTCTATTTTCGTCAGAGGTTAGGCTCTCCTCTTTCCTCCGGACGTTTTAATGTCAATCAATGGACATTGTGTCTGTGTACTTCATCTGGTGTTATTTTGTCTACCTCAATGAGGGGGTTATTTCTATTTTTTTAGGCATGACATCCTCGCGTTTCAGCTTGTCTACCGTGTTACATTGGAATTTATTCCCTTTCCTTATATGATGAATAATCGGAATTGTATACAGCGGGGGTGGGTGGGATAGGCGTGAAAATTGTTAAGTAACGACAAGGGTTGTGTAATATGAAATTTATTATTATTTTATATTTATTTTTATTTTTGGTAACAGCTTGATGCCACACTGTATTTTTGGTACAAGTATGGAATTTTCAGCGTGGATATCGGTAGCCCAAATTTCGCAGGCCGACCATAGATATCTGGTGTGCGCCGGTGTGGGCTCGAACCCCGGACCATGTGCATGGTCGTCGAGAGTCCTAACCACTGTGCCACCGACGCAGGATATTGGCAGAGTCACGTGTCCAAAAGAGTGAAATTATGTAATAGGCAGAAAGAGTAAATCAAGGGTTGGTTAACAGGAAGAAGATGTTACTAAGACGCCACACAAAAATTGAAAAAATAAACAAAAACAGAGAAGACAAAATATATTATTAACAAAGTCATAGAACTTGGAATCATGCTCAAGGCAGAAGTTGGCGGAGGGCGTGGAGAAATATTCCTCTCTCCCCCCCTGTGCATAAATCACGATGTTTATCCAGATCTCTAAGGCCTTATTGAGCAATGCAAAGTAAACGGAAGCTTACTGTTTTCAACGGTAGGCTTCTTTTGACTTTTGATGACTTTGAATTAATTCTCCTTACACACACATATTTGGGGACCAGTGTTGACTACATATATATATGTTCAGTTATCGCACTCTTTGTTGCTCCAATGTTACCTTTCCATAGCCAAGCGGGATTCTGTTCTTTGACGTTTTTGGGTGAAACACACATCAAACGACCTATAAAACTGTCTCGCTCGCTCACATGAGCAAGTGAATTGGTAGGTAGGTAGGTAGGTAGATACACATAGACGTGGTCAAATGAGATAGTTTAACTTCGGATGGGGCTTGAGAATACCAATCGTCATGTATGGGGGAGCAGGGAATGTTCTTTTCAGAGTGCTAGAAATTCTTCTCTTGAAAATCTCGTCCAGACGGTCACCCGCCATACTGAACGCCACATTCATGTACAGCACCTTCTTCGGCACAGAGATGGGCAATTCTTTGCTGAATTTTCAGCTTTATATGTTTATCTACAAAGCATGCGGGTGGTGGTGGTGGTGATGGTGGTGCAGGGATAGCCATTCTCAAATAGTGTCTTCCTCAAAAGACAGTGATC